AGGAGGGGAGCGCGAATTCGAAGTTTCGGAAGTTCTTTTGGGAAACTCGGGATTTTTTATCTCAAAAAAGGCCAAAAAGAAATAAAATCACTGTTTTGCGTTCTTTTGTGTTTCCACAAATGCACAACACAGAAAACTGGTGAAAAAGAACATCAGTACGCCCTCACAACCAGAATTCGCTCCTCCTGGTTTTAAAAAACCCTGCCACGGCAAGTTTTATAATACTAGAACAAGTTAAGCAAAAGCAATTTACAGGTGCGTTTTCTGGAGGCACAGAATCGAAAACTAGCCGCAGACCTCGATCTTCTGCGTGGTAAATGGGGAAAAGACACATTCAACATCAAAATGATGTACGAAGGAGAGCTTGCCGTAAGCACAAAACACGTTAACACCCTATTTGTCATATACATTTTGTCAGAAATAATATGTGCTCATCGTTATCGTCCATGTGAATGGCTCAGAACTGATCGCATTGGGAACCGACACAACTTTTTTTGCAATTACTTATTCTAGGCAAGCTTCGTTCACTGTGGTTGCACGTGAATTAAGAGTGTAAGCATGCATTTATCACGTGTCGCTGTATTTCACATGCAGTGTGCCCATGAACTGATAGTGAATTCCAAATCTTTAGTTTTGCGTCTGAGGAGAACTTCGTTATCAAAAATTTTTACCGTGCACAGTAACATGAGATGTGCGCTGTGTGTCTGAATTTCGAACAAAGGAGCGAGAGAACTCTGTGCGCGGCTTCGTGCATAGAAATAGGGAAAATATGGAAGTTCTCATGATTTGGCCTATTGTGATAATTGAAACATAGTTCTGAAAGAAAGGCAAAGTCGTACATAGCCTAGGTCAGGAATTCATAGGGCTTCCACTCCTGGACTTATCGCCAGTGCCTTCAAAAAAAAATTCATTCTAGCTTTGCTGCATTTGAATTTCCGTAATACAAACACACAATACCAAGCTTTGCATTTATAAGTGCAAAAAGTGTGATTTTCAGGAAGCTCGTAAACTGATCAATGACACAGCTCGGCAACGTGATGATCTGGAAAAACAAATTCACAGAATGCAGAATGAGCTGTCTGAATACCGCAAGAGGTTTGCATTCAAGGAATTTGATACTGAAATTTTGGAAATTCTTCTCAAATTCCTAATATTTTTTCAAATCCTCTTCATCAAAATTACGTGTACCATAGTTGGCGTATGGTCTGAAATGCTTCAGCGCCACCGCTAACTCAATATACCATAAATGTTATATTCGGCGATGAAAGTTTTGTACCTCACGTTTACTTGGCACGAACCATAATCCAGCTTTCTCGCTTTTTTGCTCACACTTTTATTGTTATAAAAAGTCGCTCGTTTTTATGCGTTTTTGCTGTGCAGCGCTATAGCGCTGCTACAGCCAGCAAAAACGCATATTG